TTTCCAATCTCCCAAGCGGGGATCCAACCGGGGCTGCTTCCTCCCCCAGGCCTACCGGTTGGATTTCTGCAGAGAGCGCGGAAGCCTCCCCCCCTGGGATCAACTGTCTCGCTGAGGCCCGGCAGGCACATGTTGGCGGTGTGTTTTACAGTGCTTCTTTGAGGTGGTGCCTTCACTTGTTGCTTGATGGACAGGAAGCCCAACAGGTGCAGCTGCTCCCAACAGGAGATGCAGCCTTGTGTTGGGGAGGGACACTGCACCTGTTGAGTATCTGCCCGTCTTGCAGTTGTTAAAGGTACTTTTTGTCAAGGCTGAAGTTGGAAACCAACCAGCTGTGGGGAGGAGGGGCCCTTGCTCATTTTTTTTTGGCAAGGAACCCGAGGCTTTTACAGCTGCGCCATAAGCAGAAATCCAGGTGATGCCTTTTCTGTTGGCCAGGGTGGGGGAGGAAGTGCTTTGCCTGTTGAACTTCTTCCTTGTTGCACAGCTGTAGCCTTGGCAGTGTCCTGCCTGCAGGAAAGAAGATGGCAGCAGGAGGGGGGAGAATCTGTTTAGGTAGGGGAGGGCTGGCCATTTCTTAGCAGGGAAGAGGAATAGTTAGGACCCCTTAACACTGATCCTGCCCGGAACCAGCAGGAGAAGGATTATTGAGGTGACTGCCTGTTCCTTGGTCTGCGAGAGGTGGCTGCCTCCCGGTAGGGAAGTCTGTGTCAAGTATAGATCTGTTCAGAAAGGGCAGATAGGAACTTGGTTGCGCTCGGAGGTCTGAAAGGAGGGTGTGTGTGTGCCTGTGTTTGTGTGTAAACAATCCTCACCCTCTCATCTGCTGAGCACTGAATGGTCCTCTGATATGGGAGGGGCTTTCCATTCCTGGAAGCCGAGGTCTGGCAGAAGAGAGTAATCTCCACGGTTCTCTGGATGGGGAAGGGTTGGCAAAAAGAGAAATGATGTTCAGAGGAGGATGGCTGTGCAGGTTTATTGTGTGGATGGTGGGGAGGACTTTCTCCCGGCGGGCGGGCTGTTCACAAGCATTGCTCCCGAAGGGGATGTGTTGGGGCATGTGGGTAGTGCTGAATTTGAAACCAATTTCAGGATCCAGTTGGTTCTCAGTGTGAATCTGGAGAGAGATATTGGCTTGATAATGTAGTTTCTGGAAACAAGCAGTTGGGGAAACATTTTTTTTTTTAGTTGGAAAGCCAAGATTGCTTTCGACACCGAGAACAAAACGCTCTAATGGTGTGCTTTATGGGTTTCAGGAACCATGTATACTTGGAGGTTAATATTTCAGAAATTATGGGGTGGGCATGCTGCCAGCCGAGGTTTTGTTTCCCTCCTGTGGCTCACTAACCTCCACATTTTAAACTCTTCCCCCTCCTTCACCTTGTTTACTTAGTGTAAAACAAGCATCTCTCTTTTCTTAAATCCAGTAGCGGAGGGCGTGAAAGGGCCGGTTAGGATGGCCGACAATGGCAGAAAGTCCAAACTGGTGGGGAGAGCATTATAGTGGCCGTATAGTAAAAAAGTACTGCATTTTCTCAGTATACTGCCCTTCTTTACTGGGTTGTAGATCTAGATGGGTAGCCGTGTAAGTCTGTCTGCAGCAGCAGGAAAGAACAAGAGTCCAGGAGCACCTTAAAGACTAAGAAAATATGTGGCAGGGTCGGAGCTTTCGTGAACCACTGCTCACTTCAGATACCGGAAGAAGTGAGCAGTGATTCACGAAGGCTCCGAGCCTGCCACATATTTTCTTAGTCTTTAAGGTGCTCCTGGTCTCTTGCTCTTTTTTACTGAGTTGTGTTCATGTTGTAGCTGGGAGGGGAAGAAGAGGGCAGAAACTGAGAATAACTTAATGAAGGCCAGGGAGGGAGTGTTTGTGATGGCAGGGGAGCTAAATTTCAGTTGTGGATTTCCTTGTTCGCTGCTCAGTCTTGTAGCTGTTACGACTTGACTCTATATACCGGTAGCACGGAAACTAGTGTAGCCCTTTTGGGGGCTTTCAATCATTATGACTCCTGTTCTGATTGCTGGGAGTTGGGAGAAGCCAGGCTGGTGCCTGCTTGCAGGTTTGTCGTTAAGATAGGGGCCCTCTTCTCTCCTTCTAAGTCTGCTTGTGTCCGTTGGAAATGTTCTCTTCTGGAAAGAAAACCCAAGAAGATTTCCAGTGTTATCTTCACACAATGCCACTTAAAAATAGTCTTTTTAAAGGAGAAATCTTAGGACTGTGACAGAGTGCAGTGCTGTGAGGAGTCGAGATGTAATGCAGTTGCTCTTAGAGGGAGTCTGTTTGTGGAAATGGAGTGTAAATTGTCATGGTTTAGCAGATCCATCCCTAGGAGGGGTTGGACAAATCAGCCTGTAGGACCTCCCCCCATTAATATTTTATACATGTTTATTGGAGGTTTTGCAGACTCTGCTCCAGTACCTTTCTCACTCAAGGCATCTCCCTAATACTGATTTAGGCAATGACACCCCCCCCCCACGCTGTCTGTCACAGTGTCCACTATGCCCACAGGAGGGTCCAGGACTCCTGTTGCTTTTGCTTCTCTTCCATCTCTTTGCTTCTTACTTGCCCTTTCCAACTCAGGCCTGCCGTCTGCTCACCTGTTTTATTTTTATTTGTTTTACTTATACTCTGCTTTCCTCCCCAGTGGGCACCCAAAGCAGCTTACAACATTATTCTCCCCTCCTCCATTTTATCCTCACAATAACAACTGCCCTGTAATGTAGGCTGTGCTTGGAGAGACGGGCCCAAGGTCATCCAGGGAGCTTCCGTGGTGGAGTGGAGATGGGGGAATCCCAGCCTAGCACTCTAATCTCTGTACTAGGCTTTTTCCTCCGCTTCACTCTCTTCCATTTCCCTCCTCCTCTGTCTGTTGCTTCCTTCTGTTTCCGGCTTCCTCTTCCTTTTATCCCTGCATCTCTTCCTCAGTTGCTGTTACTCTCGCTTGTTCTGTGTTTCATCCAGTGAAGGAGACAGACATGGCCGTCCCAGTGCTGAAGTTGACATTGTAAATGTCATATGCCGCTTTGTGAGGCTAGTACTGTTTTCGGCCAGCTGGCCACAGCTTGCCTGCATCGCAGCTGTCTCTGTCTATTCCCATCGGCTGCATGTCATAATCATATTGAAGCGCTGGGTCCCCCAAAGTATGAGGCCTGGTGTCGTTGCCCTAAGCTCAGCAGTTGATGCATATTGAGGGTCTGGGCACATGAATACATGAATCTGTCTTATTGCATCAGACCCTTGGTCCACCAAGGTCAGTATTGTCTACTCAGACTGGCAGCAGCTCTCCAGGGACTCAGGCCGAGGTCCTTTCACATCATCTACTGCCTGGTCCTTTTAACTGGAGATGCTGGAGGATTGAACCTGAGACCTTCTGCATGCCAAGCAGAGGCTCTCCCACTGAGCCAGACTGGCAGAAGTCCAGTCTGAAGGGTACACATGGGTAGGCTTGGGAGGTTGTTCAGAGGGCTGCAGGATCGAGGAGCATGGTGAGTCCTTAGGGCGGGGGCCTGAAGCAGTCTGGAGTCCTGCTTCGGGGTGAGGTGGCTGCTTAAAAAAATGCAAGTAGGGCAGTGGGAAAGTGATCTACTTGCATTTTTTTTAAAGCCACGAATAAAGCCAGCAGGTAAACATTTGGCACAGCGTTGCAGCTAGCTGTGGCTTCCTGGTGGGTGTACTTGTGCCATGCCTGTGTTTGCTGGCATTCACGTATTGCCTAATTAGGTAACCATCTAAAAAAATCTTAGATGTATGCCTAAAAAAACCTTCAGGTGTGAAGTTTCGGGTGGGAAGTGGCCCTGAAGTGTCCAGGTTCATTTAACTAGCTGGTAGTGGGTGTGACAAATAACCAACCGAAGATCTACCTTTTGGGGAAGGGGCATCTTTGTGTTATGTGTAATAAGACTGGCCAGATGCTGAGCGGGTATGTTCTTGAGAGGGGATCTAGCCAATGCTTTGCACTTTCTAGAGTTTGAATGGCCCCGTTCAGCACCATTGTCCTCTGGACAGCACCCCGGGTGCTGGAGAGGGCCCTGAAGCTGTCTGGTTCTGTTCCCAGCTCACCTGGCAACTGCTGTTCCTTCACCTCCAATAAGCTGGTGCCAAGCCGTCCTCTGACCAGCCTCCTCTTTTCTTTTATTTTTTTTCCTGTCTCCTGCAGCTGTAGGAAATGACAGCTCCCTTGCTGGGTTCCTGCTTGTGCAAATCAGAGTGGAAGTGTGGTTTCGGATAGCTTATTGCTTTATAATTTGTTTGCTGGATTGTATCAGGAAACCGGGGGAAAGGAAGCAGGTGGTGACAGTCCTTGAAATCCCGGCTCTCAGTAAGGCTGTGGTAGTCAGCCTTGAATAAAACTCTGCCTCGTTAGCCGGAGTAATCATTATAATTATCGTAAAACCCTCAGCGTCCTGATCCACCTCCTTCATTGTGTCCCGTCAGAGTCTCCATGCTGCCTGCCAAAGAGGTAGGGTCTTGGTGGTAGCCTCTCCCTCAATGTGCCGTAAATCAGGAGGATATAGAGTGGCTTTCTAAGCTTCAAATTCAACTTTTTTTAGAGGCCTGCCGAAGCTGGAGCCCTTTGGAAGTGATACAGAACTTCTTGAGACAAGCCATTCTGTGGCCATTGGCAAGTGTCACCGTCTTTGGGGGCCAGTTCACATGTACGTGTGACAATGGGCTGCTGCAGAGAGAATATGAGAAAGTTGCTTCAGACCTACATAGTTGTCACTCAGGTTGTGCGGCTGGGTCATCGCAAGCGGAACTTTTGATCGGCGCTGCAGAGGATATGCTTTTCAATGGGATGGGTTCGTAGTTGGCTGCTAGTCTTCAAGTGTAGCGGAGCCGTGGGATGTATCAACACCTGTGTGAAGCAACCTTTTCTTTGGCTTTCTCCCCACCCCAGACTGAATTAGCAGCTGGTTGCAACATTTTTTATAAAAAGATGCACA